AAAAAATGAAAATGACGTATTTGTATAGAAAACGTATTCCTTAAATACGTTTTTTCAGATTTTTTTTCAAAAGAAAACGTATTCAATGAATACGTTTTACAATTAAAAAAATGGTAAAATGTATTCATTGAATACGGGCTTTTTATTATGGTCCACTCTCATTTGTTTGTGTATTTTTTTTTCCACAACTTAACTTTTTTATAATTTTTTAGTAAAAAATTCCTAACTTGTATGCAATTATATATTTTCAAACGAATATACAAAATTTCAAATTGAAATACAAAGTCGAAAAAATAATATAAAAAAAAGAAAAAAAAAAAGAAAAAAGTATGACCGACGACCAGCTTAACAGTTAGACTACCTTATAGAATTTATGTTGTAGTATAATACCATGTATTATACGGGTGTTAATTAAGAAATTACAACATAAGTTATGATTGATAACAAAATAAACTGACTTATTTGGTTAACTTATATGTTTCTTATATTTAAATAAATTTCGTTTAGTAAGACGATTTTTTTTTTAAAACTCGAGTTCATCTCATAAGCTTATTTGGGTAGTTTTTCAAATAAACGTTTGAAAATTTTTTTTTACCTAACTTATCAACTGATTTTACCAAACATCTTTATCATTTAAATTAGTTTTTCAGCTATAAGTCATAAGTTACAAACTCGAAAATCAATTATAAATTATAAGCTAATTTTACCAAAGATAGCAATGTTTTTTTAAACAGCAAACAATAAACCACATCCTAACCCAACTGCACAGGAACAATATTACTTATTTGCCAAGAGTTATAGTTCTAATTACAACACACATAAATCTCTTCATTCATTTTTCCCCTACCAAACCTTACAAATTATGTATGCCATTCCCCAGTTTAAAAAATTCCTTTAAAATCTATGTATGCATACAGTTTAAGTCACATTCACCTTGCCCCAACTGTGTTCTTAGTATACCAAAACATAACAGAATCAAAATGAAAATGTTCGAGATGGAATTACGACAGAACTCATTCTAACCAAAGCCAAAACTCACAAATTATTCTCTCGAACGAGCTTGTTCAGAAGCATCGTAAAAAGCTCGTCCCTTTTCTCTGCTCGACTCTCCTCCTTCAACCGCCGCTGTTCCTCTCTCTCTCTAAAGGTACTCTCCATCATCAGCCTCTCTCTCTCTAGACCTTCCATCTTTTTTCGCCACTCGTCCTCCAAAAGCTCTCTTTCCTTGGCGTTTTTTTCCATGGACTCCATCCACTGCATGTCCATCCTCTGCTGGCTCACTATGAAAGTCCTCATCATCTCGTGAAAGCTGTGGAGAGCGTTTTCATTGCTGTTCGTGTTTCTGTGAAATGGTTTTGGGTGATTTTCGTTCTCTGCTGTTTTTTGTCTCTTCTCCCTAATGGGTTTTCGTTTCGGAGGTATTCTTGTTTTGGGGGAATGTTCGGGTTCGGTTTCTTGTTCGTTGTCCGGTTCTTGCGAGAATTCTTCAAGGGATTGGTTTTCACGAGCGTTCGCAGGGTTATTGCTTGAATTTGTGAAAGGTGGCTGAGTAAGATTGGACCTTGATGTGAAGATTGTGTGGAGCTCGTCGAAGAACGGGCAGTGCCGAATATTATTATCTGCAGCCGACGCTTCGTGCTCCTGTATGTTTAGAAAACAAAACTGAAATAAAAAAGAAAATAAAATGCTCAAATTCATATTCCAGCACATAGCCACAAAAGATCCGTCTTTTCAATATACTTTCAAACTAAAATATCGGACTCCATTAAGAAAACAAAAAAACAAAAAAAACAAAAAAAACAAAAAAAAGTTACAAAAGTATGATATTTTGTAACAAAAATATCCATTACGGGTCGACTCATCTAACTTTTAGGTCGCCTCACACAAGAATATGTGATTACTTTTCCTTCAAAAGCAATCAAGATGGGGGGCAAAAAACAACATGCAGTATGTCAATAAAAGGGGGAACACTCATGGTCTGATCCTGTACCAAATAAAACAAGAGCAAGCAGCCAGTATTATCTGCTTTTCATTAATCAATAATCAATACTATTCTAGAAATTGCATTATTTGGATGACAACCTAGAGGAGAACAATAAAACCACAAGTCAATTGAAAAGCACAAGGAGGTAGGTACAGAATACCATTTATTTTCAAACAACTAAAATTTCAACGCTACATAGAAACCTTAACTAGGACAATAACTCGACATTATTTCTCACATTTGGATAGGCCTCATCCGGCAAATGTCTCAGAAACATAAGTCCCATCAATTTGGCCAACATGCAAAATTTCATCATCTCCCACCAAACAGGATTTCAAGATTAAAAGTAACTTAGAAGGTATTAACATTACAAAACAAATTCTCGAGCAATTAAAATCTCCATGGCATTCCCCCTTAAACTCCTTGTGGAAACTAAAATATGCACTGGCCAAGAAAAATAATTTTCCAATAAATATATCACAAAATGAAGTTTACAGCAAACAAGTTTGTATAAAATATGAAGGAATAAAATCCACCAGCGCAACCAAACAGGCAGCATATAATGCATTCTGCTCAACATTATACTTTTATTCATAATCCACAATTGGACATCAAAGCCTATCAGAAAGAAGATTCAACCTTGAGAAACAATTTAGAAATTGCAACATAAACTGCAGGCACAATAAGATATACTGAGATTACAATGTTCGTACAATAAGATATACTAAAATTACAATCCTCACCACAAAAAGTTCCATCACCAATTGGTTTCGGAATGGAACTTCACTTAGGTGGCACCATAGGCTCGCCTCTAAAGGTGCGCTTCACCTCTATGGGGACGGACCCTCTCCCCGGACTATAAAAACTTTAACACTGAATTTCAATTTATCAAATCGAGTAAGCATTTGTTTCGAAAGGCCAAACTACCACTTAGATGAAAATCTAAAATTATCAATCCACAAATAACTTTCATGAGAATCACAAACACATAGCCCCTGAAAATTGGCTTACACACAACACTTGTTGGGGTATCACAACAAGCACAGCGGACAAAAATACCCCTCCAACAAATATGACAAGTACTACTCCAAAATAAGCCAACACAAATAAAAGACGAGAAATAAAAAGAACACAAAAATTGATAACGGAGTTCGGCGAAAATAGCCTACGTCTCCGGGCACCGCCAACCGCAACGCCAAATTTACTAAACTCACCAACAAAATACAACTAGGGTTAAATAACCCACAAAATAGGATTTCCTTAATTAAGGATTTCCTTCTAAATAGGAGAGAATAGAATAAGGTGCAATTGTAACCCAAAGGCAAGGGACCTATTTATACTAATAAGATCCTACACATCTTTGGTATACATCCGATGTGGGACAACAATTAATCAAAAAACTAACAACACTATCTTTCAAACAATCAACATACCCATGATCAAGAGTTCAAATTACCCAACATTGAGGAAAAAAAACCCACCTCCCCCACAAAACCAGCTAGCAACACAACTAAGAATCATCACATTTAAGCACATATTTTTCAGCAACACACATGTACAACAAAGCATACATTAACATATACCTTATATCTGCTAACAAGATCTTTCCATTTTGCCTTGCACTGGTCAGGTGTCCTCCAATAACCCTTAACCCTCATCCCATTAGCCACAGCTTCCCACAAATTCTTGTCCCTTTCCTCCGCCGCTAACTCCACCTCAAACTGAGCCCTAATTTCAATCAAATCCCTCGTTTCCTGATTGCCCCATTGGGGGAACCTCTCGTCCCTCCTCGAGAAATCATCGTCGCCAGCTACGCCGCCGCCAGAAGAGAAAGGGATCATGATTTGGTGGTGGAGCAGGTGGTAAGGAATGGATGCGCCACCTGCGGCGGCGGCGGCGGAGGAGCTGCTTGGGCCGTGGCTTCCGACGTATTTTCCAGCGTTGTTGTACATCGTATCCTTTACTTTTCAGCTCGTTTTTCCGGCGACCTGAGGAATCTTTACTGATCCATGCTCGATTTAGTGTGGGGTTTGAGGGTTTAATTTCAGGGAGGAGATTCTTTTGACAGAGGAAAAAAGTTCCCTTGTGCACGTTTAGACTTTAGAGTTTAGACCGAGTAAATATGATTTATTTTACTGTTTGTTGGTTGATTTATTGACTTATTAAAAAGTAGGGAAATCGTATTTTCCGTTACGAAATCATTCCATCGAGTTTGTAACCTTTAGATCAAATTCTATCGGAGTTTATAACAGTTAGATTAACCGTCGAGATAGCTGATCTAACTGTTACAAATCTGACGGAATGATTCCATAACGAAACCGTAACATCTCCTTCCTTAAAAAGTGTTTTGTTTTATTGGGTAAATGAAAAAATGTGGAAATTAAAAGAAAGTCTTCGTACTTTCGTAGTGAAGAAAACTCGAATTCTCCTGATTATTGTAATCTGATTCTGGGCACTAAAAGAGAGAAATAGATTATGCTACAGATAATTTCAAAAATAAATGCATGTTTTCTTTTCCTTTTTGTCCTGAAATTTGTAATGAAATTTTCTTACATAAATAATTTGTTTGTCTTCTTGTCCAAAAAAAATAACTTCACCTTTTTTTAGTAAGTTGTATTAAGTCGGCGATTAATAGTTTTAAATTAAAATATCACATTTTTAAAAAAAATTACAAACAAATTCATAAATTTTTATAAGATAAATATACATTTTTGTTAAAAAAAATGGCTTTGTTTTTTTTTTTTTTTTTTCTTTTGGAATGAGATCCTCACTAGACACTACATTGCATATTTTTTTCCCTCAAAATGTAAATATTATTAATAGAATAGGTCAATAATAATTAATACATGGATTGATCCTCCTTTACAATAGGCACTCAAGAAGACTAAAGGGTCCGTTTGGTAAATGGCGTTTGATAAAAAAATTATTTATTTGAACACTTAGCGGGTTTGACTTTAACAATTCGGGCGTTTGGTTAGCAGCTTTTTAGTTGGCTGCTTTTAGCAGAACCGCCAAAATAAAACGCTCTTTGGTGGAGCGTTTGTTGATAACTATTGGTGGAAAATAATTATCATGTACCTCGTTACCCACTAATTCGGCGACAGAAAAGGCAAAAAGACATATTAGAGTGATAAATAATTTGTAGAATAGATTGTTATATTTGATAAAGAGGGGTTTGATAAAATATCAAAACTACAAATTGGAATTAAATGATAAATTATTTCTACATAGGAAAACATAAATTTTTTTATAGAAAGGAGCAATAAATATGTAAAAAAAATGTTACAGTAAAATAAAGTTTTTTTTTTTTTAATTTCACTAAAAGATAAATATTTGTTATTTGGATCATTATATTATTATTACATCACTTTATTAAATATTAAAATAATAAATTATTTTGCATTTATTAAGGAATTATTTTAAAAAAAAATATTAAGAAAATCAATTATATTAAGAATAATGCTATTTGGTGAACTTGGGTGACAACTTGGATTACAACCCAAGTGTAAATGTATTATCAAGAAATTATTAAATAATATTTACATTTTTGAGGTTTTCCCAGATTTCTGACGAATGGAGATTTTGTTCCAATATTTTATTTATTTCTTTCACAATATATTTCTTTTTATAAGCAAACTAATACCAATGTTGGAATTGATAAATGTAATTACTAAAGCCACATCATGTGCCACGTAAGATTGTGGCATGGCTTATGGTGCCCATATGGGCACCATAGAATTTCTGACGCTAATACTACAAAATCTAACTTTACCAAACACAATTTTACAAAACGCTATTATAATTAGCTGGTCAAAACAGCTAATACAATACAATGATCAAAACAGTTAATATAATCCGCTAACCGCCAATTGAAACATCTTATTGCCAAACAAGCCCTAAATAAAAAAATAAAAAAAAAACCAAAACACAAAAGGACAAAATACAAAACAAATAAAACTACACAATCAAACACAAACGTAAAAGGGAGGCAAATCCTTAATCTTTTTCAGTAAATCCTCAATCTTTTTCAGTAAGAACTGTTCAATTGAGCTCAAGAGAAGCATTTGCCATAATCTCAATGACATTCAACCTTTTGCCTCAACAAGATACTTGGGCCTCCCCTTGGGCATAGGCAGAACTAAAAGGGAGGCATTTGCTTATGTTCTTGATGCAGTTAAAAAGAAGCTGTCTAATTGGAAGAATAATTTCCTCTCAACTACTGGGAAAGAAGTTCTGCTCAAGGCTGTTATTGACTCACTCCCAGTGTTTTCAATGTCTTGTTTCTGTCTCCCCAAGAGTTTGTGCAAGGATATTGCTAGGCTCAGTGCTAATTTCTGGTGGGGGAAAGGGGAGAATCATATGGGTGGTATGCATTGGAAGGCATGGAAATTCATCTCTCTGCCAAAGGAATTTGGTGGCTTAGGATTTAAAGACATATGTCTGGTGAATGAAGCATTGATCCTCAAACAAATCTGGAGAATCCTTACAAAGCCCAACCTGCTAATGAGTAAAGTTCTCAAAGGTAAATACTTCCCTAAATGCTCTATCCTTCAAGCCACAAAAACCGCCTCAGCATCTTGGGTTTGGTCCAACTAGATGAAAATTAAAGACAAACACAAACATTTCTTTATGATCCAGATTGGAGATGGTTTGTCTACAAATATTTGGACTGACCCTTGGGTTAATGGAATCTCTTGTGGCAATAGTGGTCTTCTCAGAAGTAGTACCAATCATTTCCAGTGGGTTTCTGAGCTTATAGAAGAGTCTAACAGAAGGTGGGACTCCAATATCCTCAGAGAACATTTCTCCCTCTCTAATAGAGAAAAGATTATGAAGATTCAACTGGGACCTGAAAGAAGAAAGGATAGATGGATCTGGATTTTGGATCCTAAAGGGCATTACTCTGTTGCTAATGCTTACATCCACAGCATTTCTAGAAAATTCCTCTCCTTCAACCTGGCAGAAAGCAGTAACTCTGCTAAAAAGGAGAAAACAGTTTGGAAAAGGAGTTGGGCACTCAAGGTAAAGGGAAAATTAAAACATTTTATCTGAAAATGCTACAATAACACTCTACCTGTGTGCTGCAACCTGCATGCTAGAGGTCTGAACATTGATGTTGTTTGCCTTATCTGTGGAGAATCTCAAGAAACTATTGAGCATCTTTTCTTTCAGTGCCACAAAGCTAAGCTTCTATGGAGAATTGCTCCAGTCACATGGGACAACCCCTTGGCCGATTCTAGCTGTTTCAAGCATTAGTGGAATGTTATTTGCTCAGTTGATAAGAAAGCCATATCCGAGGACAGAATTCAGTTAACTACGTATCTCATCTGGTGGCTTTGGAAATCGAGAAACCTTTGGAAATTCCAAAACACAATGATGCCAGTTCATGCAGTAGTGGAGGCTGCTGTAAGAGATTGGCATGAATTCCAAACTGCCAGCAAGAAAAAAATTTAAGCAGGATCCTGATATTGGCTAGGTCTTCTCCCTTGAAGTTCAGTGGCTCAAGTTTCCAGGCTTTCTGTCATCCTTCTGGTTTCTGGCTGCCTTTTGCTCTTGGAAGTTCATGCTAAGTCTGGCTACTTCTTGAGATTCATTTAGTGCTCCTACTGCTAGTCTTTTTTCCTTGTAGTTAGTTGTTGCTGCTTTGTCTTCATTGTAGTCTCTTTGATCAGTTGGTTTATTATTTGTTTTGGTTTTAGTTCTGTTGTGCTGTTTAGCTTTTGTGGACTAGTAGTATTGGGTTTTTTGCTTCTTTTTTTTAGCTTAGAGCACCAGGGTGTGCCTCTCTTATTCTATGGGGTCAGTCGACCTCCGATTTGTAAGACATTATTTTTTCCTTCTATGAGTATCTCCTATCGTTTCGGAAAAAAAAACACAAACGTAAAATCCACGCAAAATTAAAGTATAAAATAGAGTAATATTTCTTTTCTGTTTTTTTTTTTCCTATAAAGTTGTCACGGCAGTACCACTATAAACCAATAAACCTCCTATAATCACCCGCAAATAGAGAAAATTACCCGAATTAACAAAGACAAATCCAACA